TATCTGAACTGGACCTACTCTAGCTTTTCAGTTGAATCAAAATAACAGATCTTTGAGTTGTTGCAACAAAAATGCCTTTTTCTTCCATTTCCCATTGTCAGGACACCTTAGGCTATCTGTTTTCTCTGCCCCTTCCTCAAGTTCTTCTCTTGGAGAGTATGTCAGGTTGCAGGTTTGTCTCTTTAACTCTCTTCCTGCTGAAATGATGAATGGGGATCTTAATAGGAACATATTTCATTTTTTAAAAATGAATTTTAAAGGTAAAATTTATAATCATATTACCACTACCTGGATTTAAGGCCAGGCAGACATCTATCCCCTGATATCAGGGATATGTTGCACGAATAAATTAGTGCTCATCAGTGAGTGTCACATTCTTTTCTGGGTTCATGATGCTGTGTAGGGTACAGGTCTTTATTAAGGGTTGTTAGCATGAAACAGTATTTTGAAAACTACATTCAACAATTACTTGATTATTTGGGTTAATATATAAAGCCAAGCAAGATAAACTGGGTGTTCTTTTCTTTAGCCCCAGTAGAAACTACTTTGGAGTAAACAATTATGCAATGCTCCCTCCCTGAATGCCTTAAAATAAATTAGCAAGTTCAAGTAGGAAAAATAAAAAACAGTGAGCAATCTATAGCACAAACTCTTTCTTTAACCCCCACCTCCAAATTCTCTATGCCCCAGCTAATGGAAAAATTAGCTCCTCATGCATGAGAGCTGATGTTGGTTTGTTCTTATTATTAGGGAGGTAATTATTTGCTCAGCATGAGAAGAAAACAGGCAATACATTCTATCAGGGAAAAGCCAGTTTTTCAGGCAGAATACACTTAGTCTGAACATTGGGATAGAATTTAAATCAGCCACCAAATAAGCTGGTCTTACACAAAGATTAGATTGAAAACCTTGCCATTGGGAAAGAAGACCAAAATGGTTGTTGACCATAAATATCAAGCAGAGAGGAAATTACTAAACAAGTTGGCCATGTGCAGTGTTCAATTCGTTCTCCAGACAATTTGGAAGGGAAAAGTGGAGGTGGAATTTCTCAGAAACTCTCCAGAATGACTGCACAAAGACAAATGGGGATGAGAGGAAGAAGAAGAAGACCAAAGCTTACACTATGCTGCATTGTCTTCCACACAGTCCTCTGGGAAGCAAGAGGAAAACAAATTTAAAGGAAAAAGAAAAAGAGATTATTCTATACATAATAGCACAGAACAGGTATAATGTTTATCTTTGTAGGTTGGAATCCCACCCACCCTCACCCCAAATTCCCTCACAAATCTACATACACAGAAACAGTACAATGTTGAATACTTACTGGGGATTTATTGGCCTAAATCATCACCAACTTGATGAATTAACTTCCAAGCCTGGCTTTAAAAAGAATCCTACTTTTATAAAATATATTCCTATAAGATGCACAATATCAAGCACATTTTCGTTCTAATGAATCTGCTGGAGTAAAATAACAGATATTCCATGTCCAAGTGAGTTCAGGAGCTCTATGGCATGTTATACTCAAATTTTCTCAGCTGTCCTCTCAGATTTTAAAAAAGTGAGCTATTTTGTGGAGATTTATTTTTACAGTCTATAAAATTTTCAGTGTTTGAATTGGAACTTTTTAAAAAAAAAACTCATAGTTTTACATCAAAGTATTTAAGAGATTTCACAGAGTATAAATTTAAGAACAGAGCACGAGAACCAATCTCTTGCTGCTGCCAGTAGTCAACTCTGGCTTCTCACTGAAAATCAAATAACAGCCTGCTCTGACAGAAGGACTGCTAGTAGGGCAGAGGTGCATGATTGTGGGACCAGTCCGTTAACCAAATTAGCTGATGCCATTCATTATCTTCAATAAATCACGACTGTTGGGAAAAAGGACTGGAGCATTAATTATCTATTATCTATTATTAGATAATAATAGTAACTTTAAGGAAATTTATCTGAAAGCCACTGACTACATAAACTGCTTTTTATATCCATAAAACTTTAAAGGAACAAATGAAATCTTTCCTACATATTAAAAAATTTAAAGTTCTTTATAAATATACAATAACAGGTTAAATGATGGGACTAATGTATTTTTAAGAGAGATGGTTTTGTTGTTGTTTTTGGATTTATTTTGTTTTTAAGTCTCTCATATAAATTTTAGGAATAATTCACCCAGTTTGGGGTTAGAAGCTTTACTTCTGAAACAAACCTCATAATTACCAGATAACTTAAAAATACTTTGTAATAACTGATATGAGAACATTTACCAACAGATCTCAAAGTTAATACCACAGATATAAATTTAAATGGTATCTAAGCAGTGGCTCTCTGAGAACTTTATAGTCGTATTATCTTGACTTTGGCAAAGGGGTTGGAGGTGAGGGGAATATTTTTGATACTGTCCTCTGAAGCATTTTCTCTGCTAACGCACTTGGAGGACTTAAGGAAAATCTTTTCCAATTATATTCCTTTTCTGGGACACATGCTTCTCATAAATACTGAGGAAATATCTTTTCAGAGGAAAATTGAAAGTGGAGCAGGTAACATGAGCCTTGTTTATAAACAGTCAAAATAGGCAGTGATGTATGGCAGACCCATCTATCTTGAAGATGATTGTGTCTGACATTTGCACAATCAGATAGGCCAAGGGTAACTGCTCCACCTTTCCAATACTCAGAACTATATTGAACCCTCAAAAGGCAGAGGGCCTTGAGGGAGCCAAAAGATGCAAACGGAGACCCTGATATTAGCTTCCAGGCCTAGCTTGTGTTTTTAGGAATAACCTTGGTACAGCTCCTTTTGATATGGAAAAGTCTTCTTCCTCATAGAGGCTGAGAAAGTAGTTCTAGGTAGGTTTATGGCTGCTGTGAATTACAAATAACAAATACTTCAATCTGGGAAGGAATAAACATATAATTCAATAATAATAATAATAAAAGAATAAGACCTCAATTCTCACACAGCCTTCAGCCACATTTATGAGGAAGTAAGCTGCCATGTGATGTCAGAAAATGTTTCAGAATAAAATTGGCTTATTGGTTTAAATTGCTGTGCACTGAGTCCGGTCCTTCGTTTTACTCAAGATCATATGATTAATCATTACCAATTATTTTCAGGAAAAAAATTGATCAAAGCATATCTTTTTCAGTGCATAACTTATAGATCTAAATCAGTGTGCTATTTCACAACAGCAAACATATATTTGGGAGCATTATAAAGATTTCCAAAGAAATTCCTTCATAAAATGTCCAAACTCCAATTTTCATATCTATCAGATTTTAAACATCATAACATCATGTGAAATTCTCAAGATGTTGATGATGTTTCATTTTGGTTTGTGCTAAACTGCATAAATACCATTGTCTTGAGAGAAATATTTTTCCCTGTTTCAGTGGGTGTGTTTGTATCTTCTGTGGAGGAGAGAAAATTGTGCTTCTGTTTCAAAGGGGGAAAAATTAATAAGTCATCATAGGTATCATTGTATTGTTTAAATTCAATGCAATTTTAACTAGGTGTATCGTGTACCCTAGTTCTTTAATTAGATTTTATGAATTTTTTTTTAATCAGGTCATTTAAAATGGAGATATAAAAAGGAACAAATCTATACTATTCTTTTTAGAAAGAAATTGATATACAAACCAGTTGTAAAGTAAAAATCCAAACAATGGGATCTAATCAAATCATTTTTTAAAAGCACTGGTTTGTAAGTAGTTGTCAGGCAAAACATAATTGGTTGTTTGAAAAATAAAAGGTGACTGGATTTTGAACTTTCTCCTGAAATTATGACTAGAGGATAGAAATAACCAAAGTAAAGTAAAAGGTTGAAGCAATTACTCAGATACTTTCATTTCCAAAAAACTACACTGAAGAAGAGTCTTTTATCTGCTAATAATTGGTATTATGCTTATAAGATAACTTAGCAGTTAACTACTCAGCTTGTTCGTCACTTTGGCATTTCAAGAGTAGGCTTTTATGTTGTAAGTACTTTTGCTTTTTGTAGAAAGAAAAGCTGAAGTGTACTTACTTTGAGGCCAAACCTTACCAATTTGATCTTATGAGTTCTATAAGCATATTAGCTAAAATGATAAAGTAATTTATAACACTGACCAATAAAAGCATATTCATAACCAGCAACCCTCTAGACCCGAGTTTATATGACACAATCAGATGTGGTTCAAGTGCTTTATGACCTTAAGATTCTTATCTGTTAATTTTACATGAAGATAACCAACAAAGCAACATTAACAGTACTAACAATAACAGGTATATAAATTGTTTATAGTACTATAAATGGAAGAAATTAAATAACTAATTGTGCGATATTTCATCAATATGACAAGCTCTTATTTTTTATAGCAAATTTTTATTTTTAAAACACACTCAAAAATTGGGTTTAGTATATTTATGATTGTATTCTAGGAGTAAATTGCCTTGTTGGTGGTTTCCATTCAGCCCCCTGTCACACATTTAAATGGCTCAAACGGTGATTATATCTAAGACTTCCAAATTGTCAAAGATGCACACACACGTGCACAAAGAAAAAAAAGTAGTAACATTAATTTGCAGGCTCTGTGCACAGATCTTTCAATCAGAAAAGTTTACGTATAAGGAGTCCTAAAAAATCTTCACTGTATCATAAGTGAATAAGCAATCATTTCAAGAAAAGAACTGAAGTAGATAAATAGGAAATGTACTATTGTAATTCTATCTCGGGAAGAACTGGTAACGGTAACTTAGTCTTCAAATTAATATGTGAGAAGAAATATGAAGTTGAAATTTTGGCTACTGGATGAGTGGATTAATAAGTACAAGATTTCTTAAATTATCTAATTCATGGCCTAAAAGAAAGATTCCATTACATTAAAAAATTCTAATTAAAAGCAGGAGCGGAATATAAGAAGATGACTTTTACAACCAGCTTTGCCAGAATCTTGTCTTGTATTTTCAAGAATAACCTCAGAATAGAAAGTTCCCACTATGGCCATCAGTCTGCAAGTACTCACCAGCCGGTCCAAGCTTGTGCCTGCAGCGGTTGTTGGTCTTTCCTCTGGATTATAGGGCCTGAAACGTGTATTAAAGTTTTCTGGAGCTGAGCGTGCCGACCTGAGAGCTGGAGCCGGCTTGGGCTGGCCACATCCCTGAAAGACCTGGAAGAACCATAGAGAGGTTGAAAAAGCTACACAATAATTTTCCTCCTGGGATCACAATGCAGAAGCATGTAATGCAGTGTTTTTCATATTTTCCGTGGAACTCTTACTTCAAATAATGCTTATGTTGAAGTGCAAACAAACTTAAACAAATACAACCATTCATAGAACAGAGAGAATTACCCAGAAAGATTTGGAGAGACTCATTATATGACCTGACTCTTAGTTTCACCCTGTATTAGAAATAAGGATTGTAATAGTTAAAATGATATTCCTGGGTGTTGCAAAAGTTTAATATGCTTGATAGCTAACTGAGAGGTTGGCGTTTCAAGTCCACCCAGAAAGTCCTGGCCATCTACTTCCAAAAATCGGCCACTGAAACTCTAAGGAGCATGGTTCTACTCTGACACGCATGGGGTTGCTGTGAGGCAGTGAACTCAAGAGTAATATTTACTTTTGAGGAGGATTTCAGATTTAAGTAAATTTTGTACCAGAAGCTTTTATGCACTTGAATTTGGTTTTCAATAAACATTCGTTGGGATTTTTGTTATCACGACAAATGTACTTCATGTATAGCACATAAGGCCAAATACCTAGAGTGACTCTTTGAATAATGAAAACCTTTACTGAAAGAATATTTTGTAAATATCCTTTTGAACATTGGTGCAGAAATAGGACATGCAAACGTGGATGAAATTCATATAATGACACTTTCCTCTAATTTTGTTGTTGACAGCTGTTCATGTCACAATCAGGATTGCTGTGGGAAATCAAACACTTTACTATAATGATCTTGGGGACTGAGCTGCTGGTTCTTTTCCACAGTGGCTTCACTCAGGGTGGGATGGAGACACTTTCAGTGCTGTTTTTAGAAGCTTCACACTTTGTCCTAGGTATCAAGAGGTAGTACCTTTACTAGAAATGCAGGAAATACCATAACATTCTCAGAACCTTTTGATGAAGTTTAAGTTTCTTCCATTTGAAATGATTTACTTAATTCTGAAATCCTCCTCAAAGATAAATAAATATTGCCGTCAAGTTGACTCAGACTCATAGCAACCCAATGTGTGTCAGAGTAGAATTGTGCACCATAGAGTTTTCAGTGGCTGATTTTTAGAACTAGATTGCCTTATACATAAAAGTTTACATATATATGTATGTGTTTGTGTATATATATGTATATATATAAAACCAAACTCACTGCCATGGTGTTGATTCTGACTCATAGCTACCGCTCCTTGGGTTTCTGAGGCAGTATCTCTACAGAAGTAGATTGCCCAGTCTTGTGTGTGTATTTATATATGTATGTGTATATATATACCAAGGAGGGGTCACTATGAGTTGGTCCGACTCCACAGCATTGTGTTCGTTTTTTTTTTTTTTCTGGTGGCATAGTGCCTGAGGCATTTGACTGCTAACTAGAAGGCTGGTGGTTCAAACCTACCAGCTGCTCCTGGTAAGAAAGGTTGGCCAATCTACTTCTGTAGAGATACCGCCTTGGAAACCCAAGGAGGGGTCCTTATGAGTTGGATCCGACTGGAGGCAGTGAGTAAATATATATATATATATATATATATATATATATATCTCAAAACCGAACTCACTGCCATCCAGTGGTTCCCAACTCACAGTGACCCCCATTTGGTTTCCTAGGCTCTAACTCTACGGAAGTAGATTGCTCCATCTTCCTTTCACAGAGCAGCTGGTGGGTTTGAACCGCTGACATTCGGATTAGCAGTCAACTCCCTTATTCACTATGCCACCAGAGCTCCTACTATGTTTGTGTATGTGTGTGTGTGTGTGTGTGTATATCTGTATATGTGTGTATATATACATATATGTGTATATATATATATATGTGTATGTAAACTTTTTCAGACTATTTATATATGCTAGTTTTTAACATGCAGCGCGTATTTAGAAAGCATTTCTTCTGGTTTCATTATTTGATTCTTGTTTGATCCTTTGTTGTTTAACTCACTTTAAAATAAGCATATTTCATCCTGCACATTATGTGATTCCATTGCAGTATGCAGAGAGCTCTTGAGTGCCATTCCGGATGACAAATTCCATCTTGAGACACAATTCATTTTGTTTTACCACTACAGCTAATTTCTCTTTTGTTGTATTCAAAAGTTCTCCTTCAACTCAGGATTTTGCAGAGAGCGAGCACTTTGTCTTGGCATTCCTTGAGATCGGTCTTAACACACTATTGATTATTCTTCCCTCATACAATTTCTGAAGTTGATGGTGTAAACCAGTGTGATAAAGATAGTGGGCCCTTTCTCTCCAGTGCCTAAATCACTTCCCAGTGGCAAGGTCGTTGCTGATGGAAGGCATTAACATTTCCAAAGCTCCAGGGATCTGTTGAGTGTGCTATTTTGGATTGCTTGGAAAATAACAGCAGACTTTAAAAAAGTATAAAGCCTAAGGGGAAACATTACTAATGGCCTTGCTGAGATTTCATGAGGTCTGGGCACTGAAAGGGTTAACAGACCTCCTTAATTAGCCCTTTGGGAAAAATCTGACTCCCTGGGTTAAGTTAAATTAAAGGAACATGAAATGCCCTGAAAGAATATTAGTGCTGTAAAGGAGAGATTTCATTTTAACAGAAAATCTTACCACTTCTTTGATTTTTTAAATTTTTGGCTGGGTGTTAATTATAACAAAAGAATGTAGATAAGATAATAAAATATAGCCTAGTAGTTTTTTTGTTATTTATATTGAGTTTTGATTTTGAATATGGTGTCAGTGGAGAAATTGCTGGATCTATAATTTAAACCCAAAGAAAACAATGACTTATTATTTTGGGAACAATTCCTGAACCCATAGTGTCAGGTAGAGACTTACATAAAAATCTATCACAATCATCTCATATCTGAAGTCCTTAAACACGGTTAAACACAGATTCAATTATACTAAAAAAAAAAAAAAAAAAAACCAAAAAAAAAACTCACTGCCGTGGAGTCGATTATGAGTCACAGTGACCCCTCTTTGAGATTCTATTATACCTTTCAAAAAAGGGAGTATGGATGTTACCTATCTGGGAATCCCAAAGCTATTTTTCATTATTTCACAAGACCTAATGGGAACTGTTGCAAAGGGAACCAATGGAACAGTGAAACAGAGTATCAACTTATCCTGTGTTTGCCTGGGAATGACACATATTATTATGTTGTTGTTATTATAGCTTTCCAAAATTCAGAATATGTTTTAAACAACACATATAAGTCATATGTCTTAAATGACTTACACAATAAAAAATAATGATTTATTTATTAATACTCACTGCCGTCGAGTTGATTAAACTCATAGCGACATCTCCTTGCCTTTCCAAGGCAGTAACACTATGGAAGTAGATTATCCAAGCTTCCTTCCTAGGAGTGGCTAGTGGGTTTGAACTGCCAGCCTCTGGTTAGCAGTCAAATGCCTTAGGCACTACATCACCAGAGCTCCTTTATTTGTTAATACCTGTCATCTATTAGCTAGACAAAATGTTCTTTAAACGGGAGGTTCATGGTGTTTGGTGACAAAAAGGAATTCTTGTGTAGAAAACTTGGACTGTCTCAGACACAAATTTCTGAGTTTGTTATTTAAAAAACGAGTTTCTGTCTAGTTGATTCTCAATCCCATATGACCCCATGTTTGTCAGAGTAGAACTGTGGCTCATTTTTCAGAAACTGGTCACCATGTCTTTCTTCCAAGGCATCTTTGGGTGGACTCGAACTTCCAGTCTTTCCGTTAGCAGCCAAAGTGTGTTAATCATTTATACCATTCAGTGATAAGTTTGCAATCAAATAATTAGTCAACATTTAGAGGTCTCTCTGAGCCTTATTTTCCTTCTCTGTGAATTGAAAATAATAATATTCATTACTACACAGACATGCTGTGATAATAAAATGCTATACATATGACAGGAAAACATAGCACAATGTCTGGAAAAGTAAGTGTTTGATAATTAATTAGCTAATTTGATCATCCTCTGATCGATCCTCTCCAGGAGTTTTGATTTCTGGGTAAAGTGATTTGAAGGAAAAAAAAAAAAAAATGTCTGGGCTGATGTTTCTTAATTGTTTTCCACAAAATATTATTTCCAAGGCAGAACAAATAATAGTTGTTACATGAACAATAATAGGTAAATGGGTTAAAGTTAAATTAGGTATTTTCTCAGGGCCTTCATCATGCTAACAAGTGCTCTCACTAGTCAAAATGGAGGATTCCATTTGAAAGGTTTCCCAAAACTCTTTGGCCCTTCTTTCCCCAAAGCATTCTCAAAAGACTAATGTTCTAGTTAACACACTTGGACCAGGCATACACAGGTCTAGGCTCTTTTGTGAAGGTAGTTCTAACCTACCAAGGGAAGAAGAGATTACCCTGTAACTGCTTTTACTTAGAAATATCTGTGAAACCATTTCACCCTCTTCTACTTTCATTTGAGAGAAGAAATGCTCCTTTAACACTAAAATCTTCTCTTTACAGCAGAATAGAAGTTTCTAGCCACTTGTCTGTGGAATAAATCATTAGCTCTATCCCTTTAAGAAATAGAATCAGTATTACCTCTGTCCTGTCTCTCTCCAAGGGATGATGAAAGGAATAATTAGATAATTCAGAAACATAGTTGGAAGCCCCAATGAAGACAGATGCTACAGATGTACAAAGGAATGATCCTTCCCCACCTAATTAACTCACAAAGTCTGAGGATTTTGGGAAAAGATCTGGCTCACAAATCCTCTCTCAGAGAGGATTATGAAGATAATGTCTCAGAAGTATGTTGGTATTCTGAGATTAAAGAGGCTGACATTAAGATAGAAAGTGCTGAATGAAGAGACATTTTATAGTTTCAGAAGGAGGAGGAGGAGAAGGCGGTATGCTGATAACAGATCTTAGTACTGTGTCTCAGGTTTCCAAATACAAGCATTCTTCCTTTAACCATGTTAACATGTTGTTGTTGTTGTTGTTGTTGTTGTTATGTGCCATTGAGTCGGACCCACTCATAGCTA